GAAACGCTGTCCTGTAGCAATGAGGTCCATCCAGTCAAGTGTGAGGATGGATGTCGCGCCAATGACATTGATTGGTGGTCGTGCTAAATTCATAGTCTGGCGGCCATTGAATCGGGTCCCAGTGGCTGAATGGTATACGAGCTAGCTTACCTTGTAACCGCAAGGTCCTGGGTTCGAAACCTGGCTGATGGGTGCGTACTGCCGATGATTCCCGAACTAGAATGAAACAGCTGGCTATCCAGTACTCCCTGTGGCTGGTTTTCAATGGTTCTCTAACTGTGATATCAATCCGTGGTCAAACTTGTAAAAAAACTAAACCTAATCCTTACAAACCAACCTTTTGAAAATAAAGCAAGTTGTCTAGCTATGTGAATACATTGAGGATGATGATGATATGATTATGAACAACCATAAATTTATGCTTGAAACATTGTCCAGTTATTGAATACTGTGTCATCACAGTGTGAGTGTGTTCGCGTGCTTTATATCAAGTGAACTTATCTAACATGAGACTATATTCTCCTATTAGTTTGTTTATTAGATGGATATATCACACAGTGTCAGTGAAACAGTATTATTATTATTTACTGGATGACACAGTTTTGAACACAATTCACTTATTGTTCCTTATTATTATTATTATTATTATTATTATTATTATTATTATTAATGTTGCCTTGGCTTCCTAGTGGAACATAGGGCTTCAACTGCTTCAACGTCTCCACCTCCTTCTGTCTTCTGCTGTACTTTTCACCTGCATCTATGTTAGTCCATACTGTTTCAACTCCTCTTCACACAATCTCCTCCATGTCACCCTTGCACGTCCCACTCGCCGCTTCCCTTTCGGGTTCCACTCGAGCTATGGCCTGACGCGCGATGTCACCCAGCGGCCTCCTTAGCTCACCGAGTGTCCAACCCATCTCCACTTTCTCCTGCATATTTGTTGGCTACCTGTTTGGTTCTTGTTTTGTTTGTTCCCATAGTTTCTTGTTGGTGATATTTTCCGGCCATCTGATCTTCAGTATAGAGCCAGCGAAGATAGTTGTTGATAAAGATCTGCAACAGGCTGTTGGAAATATTGTTTGTGACACACTAGCCAAGTTTCTGATCCGTATAGAAGAACTGACTGACTTGACTTCGTTTGTATTGAAAATCCGAATTTTGTTGTTGATGGTGAGTTGAGTGACGAAGATTTCCAGATTGGTTTCAGGTTGATGAATGTGTTTCTCGCCTTTCCAATTCTCAATTTGACATCCTCGTCCGTTCCTCCTGTAGTTGGGACAATGCTTCCTAGATAAGTGAATGAAGTAACCTCTTTCAAATTCATAATCATATCAATTATAATCACACGACTTCGAAACTTGAATTTTATAGTTTTCTTTGTTCTCTCCTATTTGCCGTCATTGGGGTAGTAGAATTTTCCAGATATCCAGGTGGACAGGTGTTGAATCATTCCAATTGCATGTGTTTGCAGTTGATTCGATAAAGAAAGCTTCCGTTATCAATGTCCCTCTCTCTCCACCCTGCTGTTACATTAGATTTTACAACTGTCATCTCATCCCATCCCATCCTATTGGATGGTTGTGTGTAATTGCATGTAGTGAGTGCTATAGCTGAACTATTCTCTAGATTTCTTATCTTATTCGGGTCAACTAATCTATATTTTGCTGCTAGGTTTTTATGTTTGGCTAGTCTGACCTCCTCTGTTCTACTAGTTTGACCTATGTATTTGACCTGACAATCATTGCAGGCATGGTATTAGATAAACTAAACTGTTTTGTTTAATTGGTTCCACAAGATCGATATTTTAACCGACAAAGCTTGTTTCTAATTGAGTTTCTGGGTGGTTTGAATGCCAGCCACTTTTACTCCTGCCTGCTTTGTTAAGAATTCTCCTCTGTAAGGTGGTTTCCGAGGTTCCTTCCTTGTATGGAATTACTACTGATGATGATTTGGAATATGGAATTACTTACTACCACAGTGCTCAAGTTTTACATATATATATATCACGAATAATGAAAAACAGTATGATTAAACAAACAACTGTTCAGGTAGAAGTAGTAGTCGATAAAGGTTAGTAAAAACAAATGAACCGATTAAGTAATGCTAGATTGTAAAGGAAGTAAATGAAGCACGTTTTTAATGAAGATGTGATAAGATTAAGGGATGATAAGAAAGGGGTTGATATTGTTTATATTTTCAACCCCTTTCTTATCATCCCTTAATCTTATCACATCTTCATTATAAACGTGTTTCATTTCCTTCCCTTACAATCCAATATTACTTAATCGGTTCATTTGTATTTACTAGTTCCATAATGGATAAGATTTTATTTTGATTAATCACACAGTGTTGTACAGTAATATTAACTGATGACCACGATTCGAGCACAAACTATTGCTCATATTCATATCAAGTTACTCACACATCCTTCTTTCCTTCATTTATATACATGTGTGGAATCGATTAGATATTGGAATAAAATTCAATATGAGATAATGTACATTCAGAAATAATAATACGAGTGTTAGTAATCAGTTAAAATTAGATGGGAAATAAGACGAATGTTTTTATAATCATAATAAGTAACTTGTTAGAATGTTATGATGTGTTTGAATTGAAATAGAATTTTAAGACTGTTTATCATCTTCTTCTGATTTGATCGGCGGTAATAATAACTTAATGAGACAAGCTCTGTAGGCTAAAAGACCCAGTGGACCCAATTAAAAAAAATAATATAATTTACAAAATACTCTGCAATGACTGTGAGGTCATCTATATAGGTCAAACTAGTAATCAGATTGTCAGAACATAAGAATTTAGCTAAGGTAAGAATGGTTGACCCCGAGAAGATAAGTTATTTAGAAAAAAGCTCAGCTATTGCACTTCACGCATTAACAAACAACCACGCAATAGCATGGTGGGAGAGGGTTAACATTCTGAAGAGTAATCTAGGTAGGTAGAGAGAGAGGTTGATTACTGAATCCTTGTTCATCCAGTCTACACCCAACACAACACATGCAACAGAAATGACTCAATGCAAATACCAGAGATATGGAAGATGTTATTACCACCAGTCAGTCATATCAGAAGAGGATAATAAATAATCTTAAAATTCTATTTCAATTCAAACACATCAAAACATTCTAACAAGTTACTTATTTTGACTATAAAAACACTCGTCTTATTTCCCATCTAATTGGAATTGATCAATAACAGTCGTATTATTATTATCTCTGAATGTACATTATCTCATATTGAATTTTATTCCAATATCTAATCGATTCCACACATGTATATAAATGAAAGAAAGAAGTTGTGTGAGTAGTGCCTTGATATGATTATGAGCAGTAATAATTTGTGCTCGAAACGTGGTCATCAGTCAATGTAACTGTACAACAACACTGTGTGATTTATCAAAATAAAATCTTATCCATAATGGAGTTATACTCTACCACCACAGTGCCCAAGTTTTATACTTATGTATTTACTAGCCTTTATCGACTACTTCCACTTGAACAGTTGTTTGTTTAATCATGCTGTTTTTCATTATTCGTGATATATATATATATATATATATATATATATATATATATATATTAATATATTCTCCTCTACATTGCTGAAGTTCTAATCTCTTACCAACACTTTTTATTTGTCTTCTTTTTGTTTAGAACAAAATATTTAGAGCGAACAATTGTTTTTAATAAATTCTTCTTCAGGTTCTACAATTATATATCCATTAATTTAAGCATACAATAGCCAGCCAGCCAGTAAAGGCAAATTAGAATCATATCAGCAAGTGTATTGTGGAACAAGTATAAGTAAGATGGGATGGAACAATAGTCAGATAGTTTTTTTTTAATATGCATGGTCAATGAGAACATGGAACAAAATCAGATGAAGTAATTTAATTTAATGATGTGTGTGTGTATATATAAATATAGTCAATAGAAAATACAGGTTTTGAGAGTGTGTGTAATCAGGGTATGTGAGACAATATGAAAATAGACCAACGAATGGGGCGGTTGAAAATAACGACAGTAAGAATGATTGTAAAATAATAACGATGATGTGATGGTGTAAAATTACAAGCACTATTGGTGAATGATTGTCAAATAATAATGATAATGAATATGATGAAGTGGAATGAACAGGGTTTTGTAAATACGATAGCAAGTTAGAAAAGCATTACTTAAACCTAAGGTAATAAAATCATAAGAAAGATCATGAAATCATAAAAGTCGAAAATGAACGTTTGTCAATGAAACAGAGGAATAGAAGAAGAAGAAGAAAAGAAAAGAAAATTGTGAAAGGAATTTATAGTGTTAATGGAGGATTTGTTGGTTTTATTGTAGGCCAAGGTAAACATAATGGTTGAACATACTTCTTCTGTATACAAAGAGATGGTCTTCTGGTATTAATTGCCACCGCATCAGCTACTGATAGAAGACGTAGTCGAGCTCCTCTAGGTAAATTAATAGGAACGCGGCAAATAACTGAGAACGCCTGGTCAAGTTTTATCTGGTATCCAGTATCTACCAAGTGGGCTAAGACTGCACTATTTACACATTTGGTTACTCCTCTACTCAACCATACAGGTACATGTTCACGTGCGCGCATGGATAAAGCCCTCTGAGTACGGCCAATGTGACTAGCTCCATATGAGCAGTTGAATTCATAGATGCACATTGATGAGGCCATCTTTGGTAATTTATCCTTTACTTGCTGTGTGAGTACTGGTTTAGTTGAGAAGTTGAGTACCAGTTTAGCTGCAGGAAATGTTCCACTTGTTCCACAATACACTTTCTGATATGATTCTAATTTGCCTTTACTGGCTGGCTGGGTATTGTATGCTTAAATTAATGGATTTATAATTGTAGAACCTGAAGAAGAATTTATTGAAATCGACAATTGTTCGCTCTAAATATTTTGTCCTTGAATAAATTATGGGAATATTCAATTTCTTTTTGTTTGTTTTGTTTTCTTTCTTTTCACAGCTCTTTTCTTCTGATTGTATATTTAACTGGAAAGAATTAATTTTCATCATCATGGATGATCAAGTAGGTAAATCTATCTCCTGAATGATACGAAATAATAATAATCCTTTCTCTATTTTACTTCTTCCTCTTTCCTTGCCTTCTTCTTCGCATATAGCATCAAATGCCATGTTGGTATTACGAGAAAGAAGAATTATATAAAACACCATCATATTATGATAATATTGATCATGAAACAGAGACAAGACATCGTCGTGAAGGTGCAAGATTTCTATCCGCGGTCAGTACAAAATTAAATCTACGCTATGATACATGTGCTACAGCTATTGTATTCTTTCATCGGTTCTATATGTTTCATTCCTTCAAAGCATTTCCACGTTATGTAAGTATAAAGTGTATATAATTGTGTGTTTCCTAGGTGACAGCAGCTTGTTGTCTAATGTTAGCTGGTAAAGTGGAAGAGACACCGAAAAAAGTTCGTGATATTGTTAAAACAGCTAGATCATTATTATCGGATGAAGATTTTAAACAATTTGGAAATGATCCAAGGGTAAGCTAATGATAATGATGATGTTTGTAGTCGTTGTCATGGTGATGATGGCGGTCTTTTCAAATTCATTTATCTTTTTTTCTTTTCTTTCTCATTTGATTTTATCGTTGTTTTATAGGAAGAAGTTATGGCCTATGAACGTGTTTTATTAAAGACAATAAAATTTGATTTACATGTCTCACATCCATATTCATACCTGCTACAGTATGCTAAACGAATAAAAGGTTAGTGTGTGTACTTTTGTTTGTGTTAGTTGTGATTTTTTTGTTGTTTTTAATCTGTGTAATTATACATCACCTAGTTGACTGACTGACTAGTTTCAACATGTGTAGAACTTTACACAGGTGTACGAATGTTCGAGTTGTCACACTCCTTCCCCCCTTGTAGCACACAAAATAAGAGAAGAGAGTAGGGAGAGAGATAATAAACAGAAATATTAGGCAAAAACAGAATAGTAATATAGAAGAACAATAGAATTTTATTGGATTTAACTAGTGGATGGTGACTAGCAGTGGAATCCAGGATAATAACATGCATTTCGTCCTATTTGGGACTCGTCATCTGGATGTTCCTGCATTTCCCATAGTTTCAAACGCCAAAGCATTATCCACTAAACCACTTGGACACTGGGTTATAGCCTCAGTGGGGGGAACATCATCATTCACTAACTGGAGAATGCAGGTAGATCCAGTTGGTTGACGAGTCCTAAATAGGACGAAATGCGCATCCTGGCTGGATTCCACTGCTAGTCACCATCTACCAATTAACTTCTTATTACATGCCCAGACATCGTCGAAGCATCTGCACAAGAAGCCAACAGACATGTCAATCTGAGACCGAGCACTTCGGTCCAATCAATCGATGGGAAAATCTAAAATTCAATTCAATTTTATTGGATATTATAAATCACAAAGAGTGGATACATCTACGTTTTCATTGAGAACGATTTTGAGCCATATCAACAATTGTCTCCAGTCTTCATTAGTTTTTACCATTCTGAGGACCCCAACCACGAAGCCTAAACCTCTCGACGTGACTGGTTTAAACTAACTGTTATGGATTTCATTGACTGATGCTTTGATTCGACACTAGTCAGTAACTAGAGCGATGTGTCTAGTCGTTGGTGTTTGATGTAAACTGAATTCTATCGTCAGTCAAGTTTGCAATGTGGCTACCACGATTCTAGGCAGCTCACCATCACGAAGCACTGTGGGCGAAATTGAAAACAATAGCGTCCCAGGAGTGCGAACGCTCCAATGACCTGGAAAGCATGTTAGTCGTTGGCTAACGGCACCTGTCACATTATCACAGCTGAAATATCAACGCTATTCACCAACTAAGGAGCAAATTTCACCAAGATCACATTTTTAATTACTGTTTTTGGACAATGTGTTAATTTAAAATAATTAGTCCCTTTTATAAATTTGGATAACGTTATTAGAAGACGGAGATTATCTGAAAAATGTGATGTATTTGTGCCACACATTTATTCGTCAAGTCGATATATATGATATTTATATACCAACTTCGTCTATAGCTAAACACCTACTTGAGGTGAACCATAAGATTGATGTTAACTCAACCTTTAAGGTCATCTATAAAAACGGTCAAGGACGTTTACTGAAATATGCTGAGGCTAAAGCCATTCATAAAATTAAGCCCCCCGTGTATATTCAAAAACAGTTTATTATTACTCTTAACCTACTTTGGTAATCCTTATTTGATTGGATTACCAAACGTTTGTGTTAATTAATCTTAATCCTTTTTATGTCACTTTGTTTAATGTAACATTTTCATATATATATTGACTTGACAAGTAAATGTGTGAGGGATCAGATTGTTCGAAATGTATAGTGCAAATACACATCACATCGTTTTTCAGATAATCTCCGTCTTCTAATAATGCTATCCAATGTGTTAATAGCTCATTAGGGTTAGGGTAAGTATTGGGGTTAAGGTTAGGATCAGGTTCATAATTAGTATTAAGCTTAGGTTTACTTTTTGATGTGGTTTTTTTGTGTTCTCTGAGCTGGATAGTTAATTTGCGAAGCTTTCATCACCCTACTAGGCGACATCTTCAGCGCATACTTCAATTTGAAGTGAGCTTTCAGATTTCTCCACGAGTTTATTAATCATCTCTCCCGGTGACCTTGGACGTGATTGGTTGTTTTTGTGCGTTTTCACGCCTTCTAGGCTACTTGTATTGGAACTGGTTGTTTCTTTGACTTGAACTTTGACCCTTTGTGTGTGTGGTTTTGTGTATCTCGATGTGTCTATTGATTGGTGATTCACTGGAATGCCAAGCTTCTAAAAATTCTCTAGCATTCTTGGTGTTTCCTCTGTCTAATATTTGAACGTTGTCCCAGTCGAATTGATGTCCTTGGTTGTCTGTATGTAGTGATATGAGGGAGTGGATATCATGTCTTTTGACAGCTAGCTTATGTTCGTGGATACGAAGACGAAGGGGACGTCCACTTTGGCCAATGTAGTGTTTTTTTTGCAGTTGATACAATCTATTTTGTAGATGATGTTAGTTTAATCTTCTTTCTCTGTTGAGTCTTTTGGTTGACGTAGAGACAGCCAGCTGAGTGGTGAAGTGATTTTGTTGGTTTGTGTGCGACCTCAATTCCTAAAGGTTTGACGAGTCTTGCAGTGATTTCTGATATATCCTTTATATATGGCAGAGCGACTTTCTTTGTGCTTTCCTTGGGGGCTTTTTGTGTGATAGGTTGGCTTGGGGGTATATGTCTTTTAATGAAATTTCGTGGATATCCATTTTTTTGGAAGACGTCCATGAGATATCTCTCTTCAATTTGTCTTAAGGTTAGGTTTACTGTTAGGATAAGAACTGTAATTAGGGTTATGATTAAGGCAAGTAGTCGTCGATCCTCTTACTGGAAAGCACAGTAATTTAACCGAGGGCTTTTGGGGAAGACTGCACAACGGGATAAGAGAGGTAGATGGTTCACAAAAACAGCTCATCTTCAGTCACCTCAGTAAATACATATACGGAAACTAGTCTAACTTAGCAACTGATACTCCTCATTATAACTGGGACGTATTTTTAAGTCATGTCAGAGAAAGATACCCTGTTTAATTGTGTTTTCATGCATTTTCTTGTAAGTATACGTCACCTTTTGTGTGCAAAAGTCACTTCCTTTTATGATTGGTCGGCTGAAAGTCACTCGTGCATTCGCATGCCTTGGGAAGCTATGGTTGAACTTTGCCGCACTGTGAACTGTCTATGTTAGATGGTCGGAGGCAATCAGTGGGAAGCCTTAGACTTAGGTTTCGTGCTAGTTGGCACTCATCAGTCAGCAAGGCGTATCTGGTGGCCACATTGTAAACTTGTCTGGTAGAATTCAGTCTGCACCAACACACACCAAGGACTAGACACACTTGTCACTAGTTAGTAACTAGTGTCCCATCAAAGTATCTAATACAGTCAGTCCAATAGGAGGTCAGTTGCAATCCTGAATATCTCCTCAGTGGTAATGTCTCTGACTACAGCACTCACTGGGTGATGTGGGTTCGAATCTCAGAAGGAGAGAGGCATGAGTTGTTCCTTCAAGGTTACAGATACGCCGCCTTGCTGACTAGTAATTGCCAAACAGTAGGAAACCTGGGCCCTGGCAAGGGTTCCCTTCCAGTTGCCTCCAACCATCTAATACTAGGCTATCTTATGCCTGGGAACTAGAGAAGGTTCGGTGTGGAGCTAGCGAAATCACCTATAGCTGCGGAAAATTTGAAAGACAGTAAACACAAACCCAGTCTTCTATGGAATCACAAAAAGTTGTGAATTCGAGGACGGATGACACTGGCTGGTGAAAACTTTATTATTAGGATAGTCAGTAGGCCGATAAGCTTTACTAAGCCCAAGGACAGGGACTTAAGCATTCGACTCACAGGTTTTAGGTTTGAATATCATGACACTTACTGTAACCTAGACTTCTATGTAATATCATATCAACCCTAACACAATGTGTGTCTCATTGCTTGGCATTTGAAAGATCTCTTACAGTGCGTCGGTGGCACAGTGATTAGGACCATGCACATGGTTCGGGGTTCGATCCTCGGCTGACGCACACCTCTGATATCAATGGTTGGCATGCAAAATTTGGGCTACTGATATCGCATGTTGAAAATTCCATACCTGCACAAAAAATACGGTGTGGAATCAAGCTATAATAAAAAATTTTAAAAAAATATATGCACACCATTCTTAAAACTATCACAGCTGGCTTAGATTCCATTTATTTCGATATTTTCAACTCACTACTTTTGGCTGATTGCCTCCATTCATCCAGCGCCAATTGAGAGTGGACCTCACAGCGATGGTGAGCCGCTTAGCATGGTGGCCACGTTGCAATCTTGACTGACGAAATTCAGTTAACACTAAACGAAGGACTAGAGAGGTGACACTAATTGCTAACTACCTAGTGTCCAGGCAAAGCAACTCTTAAACGGTTTGCAGAAAGCTTCAAAACATGGCACCAGTCAATGAAATCTACAACAGTTAGTCTAAGCCACGTAGGAAGGTGTAGACTTCCTAACTGATTGGGGTCCCCGGGATGGTTAACGTCAGTGGCTGGAAACAATTGGTGATATGGCTCAAAATTGTTCTCAATGGCTGGCGAAAATGCATCCACTCCTTGTGACTCATGATTTCCAATGAAACTGTTTTGTTCTTCGTTATTACTATTCCTTTGTCTCACTCCTCTGTTTACTGTGTCTAATATGCATTTCTCCTACTTTCTTCTCTTCCTTTGTGTGCTACAAGGAGGGAGTGTGTCGACTTGAACTGGCGCACATATGTGCAAAGTTCTATGTTGAAATCAGACAGACAGAAAGCTTCAATATTGATCAGTTGATAATAATATGTCATCAGATAAGTCTTTTATTCTCCATGTCACCGTTAGACGTCAAACCTGTCGTTTCCTATTTGGATTCCATTCGAGAGTATATCTGGTGCGTGATGTCATTCTATGGACTCTTCAGTGTGTGTGTCTGATCTATCTCCATTTTCTTCGGAATGTTCGTTGAGCAATAGGTTCTTGGTTGAACCAACCAAAAGCTTCTGTTGCATAAAGTGGAGGCAGCTGTTGATAAAAGTCTGTAGTGGTCTATTAGAAATGCTTGTCGTGATGTGCCAAGTTTGCGAATCATAGAGAAGAACTGACTGACTGACTAACTAACTTAACATTTATGTTGAAAATCTGAATTTTGTTCTTTATGCGCTTAGTGCAGAAGATTTCCAAACTGATTTCAGAGTGTCGCAAGTTCCCCTTGCCTTTCAGATTCTGGTCTTGACATTTTTATCCACACTGTCGCCTGTAGGTGAACCGATGCTTCCTAGATAAGTAAAGGTAGTGATCTCTTTCAAATTCCTCCCGTTGATAGTGATCGATGCTGATTGTTCTTCTTTGAATGAGGGTATCTTCATCACCTCCTTCTTCGTTATGTTCACCAAGAATTCCTGTCTTTGCTGTTTCTTCTGATAGCTTGTTGGTTTCCGGCTGAAAGTCTTTGGTATTGTGTGACATTAGACATAAATCATCCACGCACGAAATCCAGATCTTTTAGAGTCTTCTTATCGATCCGGGATATTCCTGTCTTCTCGTTCCGCACACAATGTCTGACGCCTAATCCAGTCCACTACAGTTAGGACTATGATTAGTGACAGCAGATAGACAGCCTTGTCTTATCCCTGTATTCAATTTGAACCCGTCGCTGAGTTTTCCGTTGTACATCTCTTGGCTCCCCTTCATTGTTTCAAGATTGTGTTTTAGGTAAAATAGTAATATTAGAAATATTAGCACCTTACTAAGGCTCTTTTGTAACGAATTATAGTGTGGTAAATGTTTTGAGCGTCATTAATAACGATGATTATAATGATAACAAAATATTGATAATAAGGTTTATGCAGGTGATAAGAATAACAAAGATAGTATATGTATATATGTGTATATTTAGACAATTAAATAAATAAATAATTCGATCAAATCTTAAAAGTTACGTAATACTAAAGGTGGGTGAAGTGGACAGATAATCAAAGTTTAAATAAATATCATAAAAGTACGAAGGAAATGGAAAATAAGAAAGGGTGAGAGGGTTTTGATTAGAATTCACCTAGGTCAAGGGAGAGACAAAGGTAGAACAAACTCCTTTTGTATACAAAGACTACGATTGTCCTCTCGAATTAATTCCCATAGTTTCTTCGTCTATGTGTAAAAGGTGGGTTCGAATTCCGTTCGAAAGGCTCGATGGAATGCGATAGATAACTTTGAAGGCCACTTGGTGACCGCTATCAATCAAATGAGCCAGAATAGAACTTCTTATAGATTTTATTTGACCTCTTCCGAACCATGAAGGAAGATGCTCATTAATGCGTTTGTTAAGCTGTCTAGTTGTTCGCCCTATATAGCTCTCTCCACAGGAGCAACTAAATTTATAGATGCACATCGAAATGGCACAATTAGGTAGCTTATCTTTCACTTGAGCAATCAAAATTGGTCAGCAGTTGGAAAATGACAAACAAAGGGTGGCTGCAGTATGAATCCGTTTTCTTACTCTCAATAATTTCAGATGTAAGATTTCACTAGCCACGTCCCCATTAAACTGCAATTTCATGAACAGTTGTTTCTTTTTAACTGTTGTCAGTTCCTCTTTATTATACCTGGTGTTCATGTGTCTCCTTACAAATCTACTAGGATAACCTATTTGGACCAGCGTATTTTGGATGTATCCTAACTCAATTTCTAAGGAGTCATCTGTAAAGATTCGTCTTACTCTATTTGTGAGGCGGCATCTGACCAAACTGATTGTGTATCGGATTGGTACAAAACTGACGTAGGTTTTCTATAGACATCTCTCTTGAGTGAACCATCTTCTCTTCTGCTCAATTGGACGTCAAGGAAATGTAGTCTACCATCATGTTCTTTTTCACAAGTGAAGATGAACGATGGATGTGCATCATTAAATTTTTTATTAACATTTCATTCTTGTCAGCTTTCATATAAAGAATAATAAACGTATCATCAACATAACGAAAATATGAATCAGTTTTATCTATGAATTTATATGAACTGTGATCAAGATTTGACCGGATAGTTGCAAAATAATTGAGCGCCGAGTGAGAAGTAGACATTTGTAAAAAATTATATTTGTAAAATCTCAGCGAAATTGAAATGATTATTTCCAACGTTCCCTGAGTTCGGCAAACTGGTCCGAACTTATTCAGGGAAATTAACATAACAAAGGTTTATATATAAAAGGAACATCTCTTGTTTTTGAAACTTTGTCCAATCATGAGTCATAAAACAGGCATCCACATGTATGATAAACAAAATTCTATGAGCTGTGATCAAAATGTGACCTCAAACTTTCAAAATTAGTAAACAAAATTGTATGTTTCAAATGAAATGTCGTCAAGATTTGACAGAATAGTTCTAAAATATTTGGGCGCCAAGTGAGAAGTAGACATTTGTAAAAAATTATATTTGTAAAATCTCAGCGATATTGAAATGAGTAATTCCAACGTTTCGTTCCGCTATCGAATTAAATTAACAAAGAAACTATGTAATTGGCACAATTGTGGTGAGAGCTGTCTACTAGCCAAATTGGTAGACAGTAATTTACGTCAATATTTACGTTCCCAAGATTTGTCGTGAGAAAATGTGAACAAAGATTGATTCAAAACCGACCACAGCAGACTTTGCGTAGGCGGATGCAGTTAACATATAGAGCATTTGACATTCAAGAAACAGTCACAAATAGATGAAAGATTAACTTTACGTGAGAAACAACCAATCGGAGGACTGTGTTTGTTTACTTAAATATCCATAGTAATGTATATGCAAATATATAAATATGCGTTGATTTCCTTAATAAATGATCTGTTGCGTGGCCCTTGTCTTCTGTTGTTACACAATCATCGTGTTTTCAATCTCCGTTGTCTGGATCAAAATGCACATCCTAAATCCGTAGCTGTCGAGTCTCCTGACAACTCCAGTAGGTCGAATAAAGCAGCTCAATCTTCAGAAAGAAGGCAAAGCAATAATTCCGACAGGGTGCTTCTACTAAACTCTAATCCTAAACACCATAATTTTGAAAATACGTCTAATCATGAAATTCTAGATTCTAGGAGTTTGAACGGACATGAAGGTTTGATATTAGCTGATGCATAGGAAATCCTGATTAATAAATAAAAATGGATATGTATCACTAATTAATAATACTTGGTCAAATTCCTGACTGTCTATATCTTCCTATGGAGACGTTAAGAAATGTTTTACAACTGTTTACCCACACACGCATACACACTCTGTTTAAAGTGTTTAACAAAGGTAGACCAATATTTGTAAGTCCGAGGTCAAATTTTGATCACAGCTCATAAAATTTTGTTTATTATGCTTGTTAATACTTGTTTTATGAATCATAATTGGACAAAGTTTTTAAAAACAAAAAAATGTTCTTTTTTATATATAAAACCTCTGTTATGTTAATTTTGATTAATTTCCCTGAAGAAGTTCGGACCAGATTGCCGAACGCAGTAAACGTTGGAATTACTCATTTCAATATCGCTGAGATTTTACAAATATAATTTTTTATAAAATTGTATGTTTATATATAAAAGGATATCTCTTGTTTTTAGATTGTTTGTCCTGTCATATAAATCATGAAACAGGTATCAACAGGTATAATAAACAAAATTGTATAAATTGTGATCAAAATTTGATCTATGACTTTTTTCAATGGAGCATTCAGAAATACAGTTACTGAAAATATCCAAGACCTCAATCTTGAAGTCTTATGTTCTACTTGGAATACAGTGATTTTCAATTCCAATGTGAAGTCAGTGCTACTATACGGATCAGAGACTTGGCCAGCGCGTCATAAAAAGCATCTCAAACAAACTACAGACCTTTATTAACAGTTGTCTTCGCTCAATACTCAAGATCAGATGGCCGGCCAGAAAAGATCAGCAACAGAGATCTCTGGTAATGAGCGAACCAACCAGGAACCGATTGTGAAACAAATATGCAGGAAGAAATTGAGATGGATTGGTCATACTCTGAGAAAACAACCCATCAAGTGACATCACTAGACAAGCCATTGCTCGAGTGGAACCCGAAAGGGAAGCGGCGAGTTGGTCGTCAGTGGTTGAGAGTGACTTGGAGGAGGTCATGTGGAGAGGAGAAGAAAACTTGTGGGCAGACATGGAGCCAGGTGAAAACTCTAGCAGAGAACCGAACTCAGTGGAGACGCACGGATGAAGCCGTATGTTCCTCTAGGAATTAAAGGATACAATAATACAATAATAATAATTCTTCTTTTTGTTATTCTTTTCATCCCCCATTTAGGTAATCAAGAGAAATTAAAGGAATTAGTTCAAATGTCATGGTCATTTATTAATGACAGTTTAGCAACAACCTTATGCTTACAATGGGAACCTGAAATAGTCGCTTGTGCTGTCCTATATTTAGCTACACGTATGAGTAAATTTGTTATAGAAGATTGGGAAGGTCGTCAACCAGGTCAACGTTGGTGGGAATGTTTTGTTGAAGGAATGAGTACTGAAGTAAGTAAATTGTTTTGTTTTTTTCTTTCAGGTAGGTATTTACTTGGATTCTAATGGGAAGTTGTGATCAGTGAATAGGGTATAGGACATTGGCTATAGTGTCAGTCGTGTGCTATATGGTGAATTCATGGACTGGCCATAGGGTCAAGTGCCAGCGGCCTTAATGGTCTACGAGTTATTCGTCTTGTAACCGGAAGATCTTGATCTGCACACAGACTTGAGAGAAATGAAAGCTTGCCTTGATTTCCCGATCCTCGCCTTGATATCCTCGTCAGTTCAGCCTGTAGTTGAAACGATGCTTCCCAGGTAGGTAGGTGGGTAAAGGAGGTCACTTCTTTCAGATTTCTCCCATTTTCGCCGGCTGATTATTGTCTGCTATTGTTGCTGTTGGTGTTGCCCGGGAATCCTCACCACCTACCTCTGTTTTCTCTACGTTCACCTGAAGGAAGTCCTATGTTCTCTGGATGCTTCTTCTGCCAACTTCTTGCTTTTCACTTGCATATCTTCCAGTTTGTAGGAAATCAGACAAATATCACCAGCGAAGTCCGGATCCTCCAAGTTTTTTGTGTGGGTCCAATCATAGATATGACTTTGTGTTATTCCCTTAGTGACTGGATTGTTTTCCGTGAATGTATGTATGTTTTCGTATGGAGACGTTATCCCCACAGGGTTCAGTTCGGATTTGCAATTTTCTGAGTTAATTCTTTATAACCTCTTCTCCTCAAAGGTTAGGGAGCGGGATGGAGATAGAATATAGAGCTGGCTTAATTTTCATCTAAATGAAACTTGTTACTTTTGTTACGGTTCTATTCGCTAATAGCATAACTTCTCCCTCAGCCCCCCAACATAGTATAAACGACTGACACGATCATGGCAATGTCTTTTCATTGGACTACTATCCAAATGACCCTTCTTCTAGCATGATAGTGTAACGACAGAAGGCAAGAGTCAGGCAACAGATCATTTATTAAGGAAATCAACGCATATTTATATATGTTTTCATGTACATTACTATGGATATGTAAACAAACAAACAAACACAGTCTTCCGATTGGTTGTTTCTCACGTAAAGTTAATCTTTCATCTATTTGTGACTGTTTCTTGAATGTCAAATCCTCTATATGTTAACTGCATCCGCCTACGCAAAGTCTGCTGTGGTCGGTTTTGAATCAATCTTTGTTCACATTTTCTCACGACAAATCTTGAGAACGTAAATATTGACGTAAATTACTGTCTACCAATTTGGCTAGTAGACAGCTCTAACCACAATAGTACCTAGAAGAAAGTTCAAGTTAACATATCTATCTCCTTGGGTCGTTGTGATATGCAAGCGAAACCGCCACCATGTCTAGGCCATTCCTTCAAAAAGCTAATTCGTCAGTGATTAGTCTAGATTTTTATGAATTTCTGTGCATTTGGGCGTGTAATATTCAAACATATCATGGGAATATGTATTCCAAACTTCGATTTATTTTCTATTCCTTGAGTTGTGAGTGGAACTTATTTAAGGCTTAAAGTCGTAAAGTTCCAATGTCTTTAATGTTGCGTTTTACAGAAGACAGTGGGGTTGGTAGTCTTACGGCTAACCTTCCCTCTGCTGCTGACTTACTACCGGTTAGGTGAGAATCAGATCTGGGCCAAGCACTGAACCACGTACACTAATTCTAGACCTCTACATACATATAGTATTATTATTACATTGTAACGACAGAAGCCATTGGTCAGGCAACACATCCTTTATTGAAGAAATGAAGAGATATTTATATATTTTTATGTACCATATTATTAGCGTTGTTGTTAGCAGAGTAACAGCGGCTTCTGAGTGTTTTTTTCTCACTAGAAGTTATTCTGTCATCTCTTTGTGGCCGTTTCTTTGAAGTCCATTATGAATATGATTTTATTTTGATAAATCACACAATGTTGTGCAGTTATATGAACTGATGACGTTTCGAGCACAAATTATTGCCACTCATAATCATTTCAAGTTACTCACACAACTTCTTTCCTTCATTCATATACACATGTGTGGAATCGATTAGATATTGGATTAAAAATCAATATGAGATAATGTACATTCAGAATAATAGTACGAGTGTTATTGATCAATTAAAATTAGATGGGAAATAAGACGAGTGTTTTTATAGTCATAATAAGTAACTTGTTAGAATGTTTTGATGTGTTTGAATTAAAATAGAATTTTAAGGTTATTTATTATCTTCTTCTGATTTGACTGGTGGCAATAATACGAGTGTTATTGATCAATTACAATCAGATGGGAAATAAGACGAGTGTTTTTATAGTCAAAATAAGTGACCTGTTGCTGTGGAGCCAGGTACATCGCTCGTTCAACCCGCATCCTGTCAAAAAGGGTCAAAGAACACTACCCAGCGTGGCAACAGAAAGGAAATAATGGCCATATAAGGAGTGCAATAATCGAACATCTCGTCAACACTGGTCATTCCATCTCAACGAACGCCTCCTTCAAAGTGATCTACAAAGTGAAGAACAACCTGACAACAACAGTACGATTCCGTCTTCTTTGCATCGCAGAAGCCCTAGCCATCCAGTTGGTGGAACCAGAACTATGCATACAAAAGAAAATTATCCAACCACTTCTACTCGCATGGTAACAACTCCGTTGATTTGACCGAACTCTTCTTTGTTTGTTTGATTTGACCTTACTTCTGTTTGTATGCTTATTTTTCTAACTTAAAACCTTTGTGTAATTCTGTATATTATTTTGTTTCCATGTACACCCTTTGAGCACACCTCATTCACCAAACTATTCATGCCATTGCGTAACTCTTATTTAACAATCATTTATGACAACTCATCACTTTTGTTGCTATCCTCTTATATCAACATCCAATTCGTCTGAACTCACTAGTTGTATTTTCGTTTGACAAATTTAATGTACACACACATACAAAACAACCATATATATTTGCGATTGTACAGCTATGAAAATGAATTCGTCGCCGAAAAGAGACTCTTTGCTGAACTACTTGTCTTTTGTCTGCTAATGTCCGAATGGGAATTATTCAGGACTTGTTAGGATGTTGTGATGTGTTTGAATTGGAATAGAATTTTATGATTATTTATTATCCTCCTCTGACTTGACTGACTGGTGGTAAGAATATCTTCCATATTTCTGGTATTTGCATTGAGTCACTTCTGTTGCATGTGTTGGGTGTGTGGACTCGATGAATAAGGATTCAGTAATCAACCTCTCTCTCCACCCGCATAGATTACTTTTTAGAATTTTAACCCTCTCCCACCCTATTGTGTGGTTGTGTGTTAATGCATGCATTGCAACTGCTGAGCTTTTTTCCAAATTACTTATCTTCGCTGGGTCAACCATTCTTACCTTATCTAAATTCTTATGTTCTGACAATCTGACTATCCCTGATCTACTAGTTTGACCTATGTAGTTGACCTCACAGTCATTGCAGGGTATTTTGTAAATTATATTATTTAGTCTAATTGGGTCCACCGGGTCTTTTAGCCTACAGAGCTTGTCCTATCTGAGTGAGTTTGTTGGTTTGAATGCCACCCTAATTCCTTGTTTATTGAGAATCCTACGTAGGGTCTCAGATGTCCCCTCTTTATATGGTATAACAGTAGATGACTTATATTCTCTTTTATTTGTGTTATCATTACTAGTTTCATAATTACTTTTATTTTGCTTTTGGCTTTTTTCGATCTTCCTAATGAATTTTAAAGGGTAGTTATTTAACACCAACGCCTCTTCTATCTGTTTTATTTCATCATTTAGGTCTTTTCTTGTGCTACTAAGAGCTACTGCTCGGTTTGTTAGACACTTAACTAAGCCTGCCTTAACATTTAACGGATGAGACGAATTAAAATCTAAATATCTATTAGAATGCGTTGGTTTCCTATAAACACTAGTGTGTGGTTTGCCTTCTTCTATTCGTTTTATTTTACAATCTAACATCTGAGCTAATTCTCCTTGTTCATTTTCTGATTCAAATGTGAATTTTATTCCATCTACTTGTGAGTTTATATGTGTTAAGAAGCTAGAGATATGTTCTGTTTTTAACACTGTGAATGTGTCATCCACATATCTCCACCATATTTTTGGCGTAGGATTAAATGTATTGAGAGCACTATTTTCCCAACTGTCCATAAATATATCTGCTACGATAGGGGATATTGGTGATCCCATTGCTACACCTTCTGTTTGTCTATATATTTTGCCTTGGAACTTGAAGATATTGAATGTGAGGCATAACTGAATCCCTAAAATAATTTCTCCAATGGGCAGCTTTGTCCTATGACTAAGTTCGAAATCAGAAGTTAGTTCTCTTTTAACCGCTTCTAAGGCCATATTGACTGGTATATTAGCGTGAAGACTAATTATATCAAATAATTTATTAATAATTTACTACGGCTATCTCCTACGGGAGGATGAGCTGGCTTCATGAACATCTCGAATCATCGCTGCCCAGGCGCGGCGATCTGATGTAAGGTTTTGCGACAGGGTTATCCAATTCTTGTTCCACAGACGGATTCCGTAGACGGTTTGTAGCCCCAGGCACTCCATACCAGCCTTGACTGTACTGAGAGTTCATGAAGTTTCATGGGAATTTGGTACGAGTGATGTCCCCAGAATCGCTCGGCCTTTTGTTTGAGAGTGCAGCTCTAGCCTTTACACAACCAAGTGTGACCTAGAAGGCAGTAGGAGTGGAGTAGGGAGTCCACTATCCATTGGCAGCCGGTGACCGGAGTTCGGTTCATACGCCTTTTTGAATGGGGCCAGACATCCAGGACATCCAACAAGCCCTATGTCCATACGTCTGCCAGTGAGCTCCAGTGAGCTTCATACGCCAGTCGTTGGAGGTTTGGAATCAGGGTTTAGCCATCTCCCCTAGACTGTCATCCAATGGACAGTCAACCCGGTGAAGAGCGCCGGGCATCCGCTTTCGCCCTCTCACTTTGGTGAAAAACACCTCCGCCACGTGAAGGCAGTGAGTAGGACTTCCTCGGGAGAGGCTATGTAAGACGCCCGGTCATACGGGAGCATTTCAAGAGGTGTGCGGAGGGGTGGCTAACCCGCAGCGCAAGGCACCCACCCCCGACCATCCTGAGGCTTTGGAGGCTAGTTATATCAAAACTAACCATTGTTTCGTCATTAGCTAGTTGAATGTTATTTAGTTTATTTTTCATCTCAAATGAATTAGCTAGTCTAGAGTTTGAGCGATTTCTGATAGGGCATAGTATTAGAGCTAAGTGTTTTGATAATTCGTAAGTAAGGGTATTTCTGAAATCTACTATTGGCCTTATGGGGTATCCTGGCTTATGTAGATTTTAGAAATACCCCAACTTATGAATGATCAAAACACTTAGCTGTAATACTATGCCCTATCAGAAATCATTCAAACTCTAGATTAACTAATTCATATGAGATGAAAAGTAAACTTAATGACATTCAACTAGTGAATGACGAAACAATGGTTAGTTTGTGATTATGAGCAATAGTTTGTGCTCGAAACTTAATCACTTAATATAACTGTACAGCAACACTGTGTGATTTATCAAAATAAAATCTTATCCATAATGGAGTTATACTCTACCACCACAGTGCCCAAGTTTTTTCATACTTATATCAATAATACGTTTCTTTGAAGGTCAGAACATATATCTCTGAATCGTATCCACCTACGCAAAGTCTACTGTGATTGGTTGTTGATTTAGTCTTTGTTCTTGTTTTTTTCGCATGACGAAGATTTAGTACGTAAACATTGACGTAAATTGCTGTCTACCAATTTTGGCTAGCAGACAGCTCTCACCACAACATTATTATTAAAAAAACACAAACGTTTGTACATTATGGGGACCAAAAGATGTGCCACACAAAACTTCATAGTTTGTACTACGACTAGAATACCACTTGTCGTATGCAGGTGCAGTGGTTCTATGAAGGAGTCACCCCGTCCCCGACTTAAAGTCTCATCCACAAGGCAATAATGGTGCATCAGCCAGTCCCAACGGGTTGATCTCTGACGAAATCTCAGCATGGATACAAAAGGCTAGTTTCGCATATGCTGGTTTACGCCATCTCTGGCTTAGTGGACGTGATATCCGGCTGGCTGTCGACCAAAGGGCGTATGTACTGCTCAGCAGTCCTCTCCGTCCTCCGTGATGGCTGTGAACGAGACCTGGCCATTGATTGTGGAAGACATAAAAAGATTAGCTGTCTTTGATCATAGGTGTCTGCGCTCTATCTCCTGTGTGAAGTGGTATAATAAGTTGAGCAATATTGAGGTTAGGCTTTGGTCGAGTGCTAGGTGAGGAGGGGAAATCAATCGACGAGGCTGTGAAATTAAATCGACTGAGTGAGATGGTTAGGATATGTGTTACGTATGCCTAGTCATTGCCTTCCTCGACGGGCGATGTTAGCTGATATAGCATCAGGCTGCAAAAGAGCTAGCGGCGGTCAAACGAAAACATGGCACCAATCAATTAAATCTACAACAGCTAGTTTAAGCCACGTAGGAAGGTGTAGACTTCCTAATTGGTTGGGGTCCTCAGGACGGTTAACGTCAGTGGCTGTAGACAATTGGTGATACGGCTCAAAATCGTTCTCAATGGCTGGCGCAGACGCATCCACTCCTTGTGACTTGTGATCCAAATGAAACTGTATCTTTCTTCGTTATTACTATACCTTTGTCTCACACCTCTATTTACTGTCTCTGTTATGCATTTCTTCTCTTGCTTTGTGTGCTACATGGAAGGAGCTTAGCGACTTGAACTCCTGCACATTGGCGCAAATTTCTACGTCGAAAAAAGGCAGAGATAGTCACCAAAGGAAGATAGGAAGAAGTGTCTAGCTACCCTCAGCCGTACCGGGTCGGTTTATGTGTGTGTGTGCGGGCCCTACATAAAGTATGATTTTTAAAAATAAATTTAAATTACAATCCATTTTTTTAAATTTTCAAGTTCTTATAAGTTTCATTGTTTTACTTTTTCTCAAAAAAAAAAACACAACAAAAACAATCAGGTTATGGAGGATATTTGTCATAAAATTTTGGATTTATACCCTGCGGATGGAAATACTAATGACGATCAATTTGACAGTGCCAATGTCACTACAAACAATGGCAGCAGTTCTACTACATCTTCGAGTAACCTTGTCGTCGGTAGTAGCAGTAGACATCATGAGCACGCTTCGTTTCATAATACTCTACACCATGATGTGAATAAGTATCATGGAGTAAGTAGCAGTAGAAGTGTTGGTGGTGGCGCTGCTGGGAGTAGTAGTAGTAGCAGTAGACACCGTGGAAGTGAAGCTATCAGAGGAGCAAGAGGCAGCGGCGGCAGTGGCGGAGAACCACCAGCAAAACGACAAGCTTTCATGCGTTCAACAAGTGCAAGTGACTATATCTATCCAACTGCTGTATATCCTGGCGCATCAGCTAGTGGTACTATCTCTTTGGGTGTAGAGAATACTATGCTAAAGCATATGTCATATCATTCATCAATGCACTATCGTCTACCGTCTGGATCGAGTGTAAATAGTAACCATAGTAACAATAATTTGAATGTGTATAAATAAATATGTATATACGTGTAAGTTATTTATTTGTAAAATTACTATTTTGAATGTTTTTCGTGTATGATTTTGCATGTATATCATTAGAGCTGTATCGACTGAGAGATGGCTAGGATATGTATTATGCATGTGCCAAGGTATCACCTTCCTCGACGAACAATGTACGCTGATTCCACTATGGATAAGATTTTATTTTGATAAACTCACACAGTGTTGTTATACAATAATATTAACTGATGACCACACGCTTCGAGCACAAACTATTGCTCATAATCATATCAAGGCACTATTCACACAACTTCTTTCCTTCATTTATATACATGTGTGGAATCGATTAGATATTGGAATAAAATTCAATATGAGATAATGTACATTCAGAAATAATAATACGACTGTTATTGATCAATTACAATTAGATGGGAAATAAAAACTATAAAAACACTCGTCTTATTTCTCATCTAATTGTAATTGTTATTTATTTATTTAAACGCAGAAAACTTGGTGCAATATGGTACCAAGGAAGATGCGCCACACAATATTAATAAAACAACATAGATTAAAAGTAAAAATATAAGTAGAAAACGGATAAAAAACTTCATCAGGAAGGAAAACAGTCATGTTTAACAAGTTCAAACAGTATTCGTTAACTATCATCAGGAAGGGAAGAAAGAAGGAAATTGCAACACGACACAGATAGGCTAGGAGTCCAGACAAAGGCGAAAGGCTGTCGAAGGTTAAGAAGTCAAGGTGAGCAAAGGTAAAATACAGGAAACTAAGTATCAAAATAAGGTTGGAAAGAGATGTGTTACTTGAGACATCATTATTGCTTGGACGCATTGTTACGAGCGCGCGATAAGTTCCACTGAATTTTGTTGCTTTGTTTCATTCATTGTGTGAGGGCTGAGATACTGCCCGGGTGCCCAGACCGAAACAGGTGGTTTTCTTAAGGGACCACCCCCCCAGCCTTTGACTTGGAGTCTAACCCGCAAGGTAGCGGAGCAGCGTCAGGTGCTGCGTTCCCATGGTTGCCGGTGTCCCATATGGGTTCGTACGCCATTTGATCCTATTGGATTCTGGAGCCCGTGTACCCCATGGTAACTGCTTTTAGTCTAACTGCTATCCAAAAAACCTTCCTGGCATGGTAGGACCTGCAGGGACATGAGTCCCAGCCAGTTTAGCTTGTTGGGTCACTGCGGCATTCAAGCCCGACCACCACGGCAAGGTAGCAGTTATCGGTCGGGTCTAATTGTAATTGATCAATAACACTCGTATTATTATTTCTGAAAGTACATTATCTCACATTGATTTTTAATCCAATATCTAATCGATTCCACACATGTATATAAATGAAGGAAAGAAGTTGTGTGAATAGTGCCTTGATATGATTATGAGCAATAGTTTGTGCTCGAAGCGTGTGGTCATCAGTTAATATTACTGTATAACAACACTGTGAGACAGTTTATCAAAATAAAATCTTATCCATAATGGAGTTATACTCTACCACAGTGCCCAAGTTTTATACTTATATCAATGTACGCTGTTATAGGTAGGATAAGATGGGGGGACAGTTTAAGGTGGTGGACGGGGGTGGGATGAGGTTAGTGGTGGTCAGATTACAACAATGGCATCCTTGTGGATATTAGATGGTTGGCACACACACCAGGCAGCAAAGCCGAGGCGTATTTGCAGCCTTGAAGCAACAAATTATGTACCTCCTTGTGAGATTCGAACCCGCATCACCCAGTGAGTGCTGTAATCGGAGCCGTTACCACCTTCTGTAGGACAACTGTTTTGGATACTTTGATTGCAGATACACCGCCTTGCTGACTGATGAGTTCCTACAAACCCGAAACCTAGGTCAATACAAAGCTTTCTTTCGATTGCCTCCAACTATCTAACATCAAGAATTCAAAGTGTACCGTGATGTTGAGCCATGTAGAATGGACTGGACACAACAATACACTAGTTACTAACTGGTGTCTAATGAAAACAATGGCATCAGTCTAAATGAAGTCGTTGACTGTTGATTTGAATCTCAAGTAGGCAGGTGTAGACTATCTGAGTGTGTGGTTGGTCCTCGAGACCCTAAGGATCAACAGCCTGAGATTCACAGTCAATGGTATAGATGCATTCTTTTATTTGTAATCCTCTGTATCCACTGTCCATACACCGTCTCTGGCGTAGGCTTGATATCCGACTGGCCGTCGACCAAAGAGCGTTTGTACTGCTCAGCAGAATGCTTCGTCCTCCTTCACGGCTGGGTGTGAGACCTGGTCATTGAGAGTAGAGAACATGAAAAGACTAGCTGTCTTTGATCATAGGTATCAGTCTTCTATCTCCCGTGTTATGTGATATAATAAGGTGAGCATTATTGAAGTTAAGATTTCGGTGCTAGGTGAAGAGGGGAAATCAATCGACGATGTTGTGAAGTCACATCGACTAAGACATGTGTTACGCATGCACATCTAGGCATCACCTTCCTCGACAAGCAATGTTAACTGATATAAGATGGATGAGACTGGAAAAGATCCAGTGGTGGTAAAACCAAAACCAGCATGGTCTGTCTCTGTCTTGATTCAACATAGAACTTGGCACCGAAGTGCAGCAGTTCAAGTTGCCACGTTCCAAATAGCACACAAAGGTAGACAAGAAAATAAGTGAAGAGAATCAATAGAGTTTTGACAAGTATAAGAGTGAAATAGAATGAGTAATGGTAGAAAGGAATGTGAAAGATTACAGAGACTGAATACATCTGCGTAAGTCATTGACAAGGATTTTGAGCCATGTCACCTATTGTCTCCAGCCATTGATTCTTAGTCCCGAGGGCGGGCCCCAACCCGGAAGTCTGCATCTCCCTAAGGCAGGAATAAAAGTGGCTGGCATTCAAACCACCCACAGACTCAATTAGAAATAAGCTTTGTCGGTTAAAGTATCGATCCTGTGGAACCAATTAAACAAAACAATTTAGTTTATCTAATACCCTGCCTGCAATGATTGTCAAGTCAAATACGTGGGCCAAACTAGTAGAACAGGGTCAGTCAGTCAGACTAGCCGAACATAAAAACCTAGCAGCAAAATCTAGATTGGTTGGCCCGAATAAGATAAGAAATCTAGAGAATAGTTCAGCTGTAGCACTACATGCAGTTACACACAACCATCCAATAGGATGGATGGGATAAGATGACAGTTTTAAAGTCTAATGTAACAGCAAGGTGGAGGGAGAGATTTATAACAGAAGCTTTGTTTATCGAATCAACTGAGAGAGAATTCGTGTAATAGGAATGATTCAACACCTGTTCTAGATATCTGGAAAATTCTACTACCACGCCTACGACAACAAACAGGAGAGAACAAAGAAAACTATAAGACTCAGGTTTCGAAGTGGTGTGATTGTAACTGATATGATTATGAACAATAAATTTCGTTTGAAACGTCATCGAGTAAGTAATAATACTGTTTCACTGTGTGATACATCTATCTAATAAACAAACTAATAGGAAAATATAGCCTCATGTTAGATAAGTTCATTTGATATAAAGCACACACACGGTGATGACACAGTGTGAGGGCCCCAACCCGGAAGTCTGCATCCCCCTCCCTACCTGACTCAGTTTAACTGTCAAGGATTTCATGGATTGATGAGGCCATGTTTTTGTTTGGCCACCACTTACTCTTTTCCAACCAACCTGCACCTATATCAGCTAGTAATGCCAGTCGGGGGAGGCGATGGTTGGGCATGCGCAGCACGTGACCTAGCCATCTCAATCTATGTAACTTGATAGCCTCTTCTCTTCGATTGATTTTCCCTCTTTGACCAACACTCTACGCCTAACGTCAACATTACTTACCTTATTATACCACGTAACGTGAGAAAGAGATCGTAGACATCTATGATCAAAAACAGTCAACCTTTTCATGTCTTCAACCAGCATGGCTTCATCAGTCAATGAAATCCACAACAGTTAGTTTAAACCAGCCATGTCGGGAGGTGTAGACTTCCTTGCAGGTTGGGGTCATCGGGCTAGTAAAAACCAATGAAAGCTGAAGACAATTGGTGATATGGCTCAATGGCTAGTGCAGATGCATTCACATTTTGTGACGTAATCATATGCTTTTAGGCAGATTGTTTGGTACTCAATATGCAGCCGTAAATGACTCATCAATTTTGATGTGGTGTTCGCTATCTACTAAATGAGGCAAAATGGCACTATTTATTGATTTAGTTACACTTTTTCCGAGCCAAAATTTTGTGGGTTTAAGGAACCGATAAATCGAATTAAGAAAAACAACATAATTTACGAAATACTATGCGATGATAACTGTGAGATCAACTATATAGGTGAACCAAACTAGATTATTGAAACATAACATTTTAGCTAGATCAAGAATGATTGACCCTGGTAATTTAAATAACCTGGAAAAAGGCTCGGCCACTGCAGTATTGAATCGATAAACAAAGATTTAGTGATTGACTTGTCTCTCTTTCTCTGAACCTAATCATATTACTTTGTAATACTTTTAGCGTGTCCCAACTTATTTGTATGCAATTACATGTATGTGAATGCGGTGCAATGCAGTAGCCGAGCTTTTTTCTAGGTTATTTAACTCACCAGGGTCAATCATTCTAGGTCTAGGTAAGTTTTTATGTTCCAATAATCTAGCTGACTGACTTCGATCTATTAGTTTGGTTAACCTATATAGTTGACCTCACAGTTATCATTGCATGTTATTTGGAAAATTGCATTACTTTTCGTAATTGGAGTTATTGGGTCCTTAAGGTAACAAAGTGTATCTCTGAGAGAATTGGTTGGTTGGTTGGTTGATTTAAATGTCACCCTGACTTATTCCAGCCTCATTGAAAATCCTAGAAAAAGTTCTCAGACTTTCCTTCTTTATACTGCAGAGCTACAGAGACTTTGAATTCTTTATTTTGTTTTCGTTATGGGTTGACCATGGTCTACGAGTTGTTCCATATTAGTTTCTTTATTAGATGTATCACACAG